GTCCAATTTCAAAACTTCTGATGTTGTTCCCAACCAATTGGATGATCCATCAGCCAATATTCTTGCCAAACATCCGAGTGTAGATGTGCCCGATCCTAATCCAATTTCGGATGATCCTCCTTGGAAAGTTATTTTTTCCGAAGAACCAAGTGTAGATGTTCCCGACCAAACTCTTAATTTGGATGAGCCTCCCCGGTAAAAAAAAAGCTACATGAGAAGTTCTCGACACCACTCTGGTCTCAGATGGTCCTCCCCATTTCAATGACGATGACGAAGATCATGTTCAGATCATGTTTGAAGAAGGGACTATTGATATCACCGGTGTACTTCCTCCTAGTTCTCAATTTCAGTTCTTACAACCTTCTGCTTCTAAGCCTTAAGCAGAATTCGACTTTCAATCATCTTCCGACGAAATGGATCTTGGTGGTGGTGAAGAAGGTGATCAAAAGAAAGCAAATCCAACTGGTGATGATGATGGTGGCAATGATAATGATGATGATAGAAGCAACTTAAGTGAAGAATCCAGTTTGGATACTAGATCCTTAAACGAAAACATAGTAGATCCCTTCGCTCTGCTTGAGATGCGCAACAAAGTTGAAAAAGTTGACGCCAAAGTTGATTTCGTCAATGCTCAGGTTAGAGCTCTTGACTTAAAACTGGATTTAGTTCTTAAAATCCATTTCCGAAGTCAAGAATGCCACCCCTTCCATTCAAGACAGAGAACAACATTTTGACCATTTAATCTCGCTTCGACTCAAGCACTCCATAGAAGAGTCTGAATGACGTTATTCCGAACTGGTCAAGCATCATGTGGAGACAGTTCAGAAGATGTTTGTTTTTCATGATGAGCTTGTTAAAGCGACCAACAAACTCATCCATCAAACACACGTCCGACACCATAAGCAAATTTAGATATTGGAACGAGAAATCCACTCAAAGGATGCCTTGAACCTCATCTTGCAGCAAGTGTTTATCAAAGTAATTCGGTCTGCCCAACACTTTGTGGACATTCCGAATTACAAGTTTGATGAGGTCATTTCCATCTTTAAAGACATTATTGATACTTTGAAAGCTCAAGCTCCTACTGCCAATGCATACGATAATCTCACCAAGATGGTGAATCTTAGCTTTTAGAAAGTTTTCAACAAAATTGGAGAACTCTGAGACACCATGATGCTTGTACCGAAAGTAGGGCCATGCAAGAGGAGGGAAGTTGTTGTTGTTGTCAGTGGTTGGAAACGAAGCTCGGAATTCCATATCAAAGATGAAACCTCTGATGAAGATGAAGATTGTGATATAAAGGAAAATGACAAGGTCAACTTGGCTATCCAGTCTGAGAAAGAGCCTCCTTCAAATGATAAAATCTTTTCCGATGAAGATAAAGCGAAATGGTCTACCTAGCCATCAGATCTTGATGATACTCTCAAACAAATCATGGATCATACAAAAGTCAAAACAAAGCTGACCATTGACGCTTTCCGAGCGACTAAACCTATGCTACCTCCAATCCCTACTCCAAACATCATCAAAATTGATGAAGTGTAACATCCCCCTCTGGCACATAACACAATATTGTCCGCTTTGGGTTACTCAGCACGAGGACTTCCCAGGGGGTCACCCATCCTGGTACAACTCTCGCCCGAGCACGCTTAACTGCAGAGTTCTTATGGGATTCAATGCCCTCATGGATTTAAAACGGGTTGTGACAATATAACCCGGGGGGTGAAGGTGGGTTGCACCTGATCCCACATTGGATTGGAAGGAGAACCAAACATTTCCTTATAAGGGGTGTGGATACCTTCCTTGTCACAATGCGTTTTAAAGCCGTGAGGGCAGCAGATCCCATAAGAACTCTACAGTTAAGCGTGCCCGGGCGAGAGTAATCTAGGGATGGGTGACCCCCTGGGAAGACGTTCTAATCAAAGATAAATGCAAAGTGATTACGTTCTCTCAGATCATCCCTATGAAGACGCTGAGAAAGGTCGTGGGCCGGTCGCAAGATGAAATTAATCAAACAATTGAGAAAAGTATTTGCATTCAAGCTCTACAGGATTCTCCGAATCCCCTATCTAGCATTTCCCCATATTTCCCTGAAGGATGATTGTATGAACATCACATGGTTCCATTTGAGAGTTATGCACTTCCGACTTCAAATTCTGAACAACTTGATCTGGATATCTCTCCTCACGGCAGATACTATGTGAAATTCAATCCACCACATCCATTCAATGAACAAGAAATTCTTGTTCGAACCGAAAGAGAACAATTGAGCTCATTCTACACAATAATGATCTTCTACTGAAAGAACCTTGGTCTAAACGAAGAATCACTCAAATTAGTGGTTATGGAATGAAGGTGCTAAACAAGTTCGGTCTTGACCGCATTCTCTACCAATACTTTATCACTCGGAATACTCAGAAGAATATTAAGATCTCGGGTGTAAACTTTCCGACAATCAATCAAAATGATGTTCTTGTCATCGTAGCCCATCTCAAAGATAAGCAACCATATGAACTTGGCATCAAAGCTTGCAATGTTGCTCTGAACTTCTTGAAAGACTACATTGTTGAATTTGTCCGATAAAATGGTGAGTTTGCTTCGCTTTTTGGAACCGAGAAGCTCCTTGGTCCCATCAACACAAAGTTGGAAGGAGTTGATCTACTGGATGAAGGTTCTATTGGAGATCCAGAGCTCGAATGCGTCAGATATGTTTATAAGAAGAAGAATTCAAACAAAAAGGAATTTTTCCGAGTTAGGCAAAAGCACTTGGTTCACACCAATGTGCTTCAAAAATTCATTTCCAAATCTTCCAAATCTCAAGCATCCAGAGAAACAAAGAAAGAACTGATCGAGCAACTCACATGGTGGATTGAAGTTAGAAGTTGGCTGCAAAAGGCATACTTGTTCGCCATTGGAGAGAAGATGTAGAAGCTCGATGATGGCTAAGGTTACTTAGTAGGAGGTTTTTGGTTCATGACAAGTGATCCTTAGACAATCCGAGATAATCAAGTTTCCGAGATGGGTGTATATCCGAAGTATCTACATACAGAAGTAGTGAAGTTTCCGAGTTTGAAAGAAGACTGAATGATCCGCAGACTAGTGCTCTTTTGTTTGCGATTATTTTGTCTTGTTTACTGTAACATCTGTAAGAGACAAGGCCAACCACGACGTTGTGTCAGGTGGTTGATCTGCAGTTCACTGTTAGTACTATTATCTCCTTATGTAATTGGTTCTAGGTCAGTATAACTAGGACCATCACCCCCATATAATTCTTTACCTTTTCACAATCTTTTGAATCATCCAATCAATCATATCATTCTCTTTGTTCTTGATCATGTTCATACTCTTCAATATTATTAACTATCTTGAATACTTTGTTGCTTTATTTCTTCAATGCTTGACTTGTATTATCCAGACTTGACTGGAATAGATTATTTGCCTCCATTGTTGTCTTTATCTAAAGGTTTAATTTATTAAACCTTGTCCTAAATTTCTTCCGATATCCCCAGTTCTCACAAGGATGTTAATGTCATCTTGATTATTTTTTTATATGTATTTTGGATTTCTAGACCTCAAAGGAAATTTACGATAATAGTGTTGAACCCCCTAATTCGAGCTCCTACAAGAATACGTAGCATGACAGTAATTTTTTGCACCTTTCCTTAAGAATGCGGAGCTGTAAAGCCATGATAACAAAAAACAGCCACCTCATTAGGTGATGATATATCGTTGGTTAGAATGCCTAATATGATAATTTTACAGTTCCACAATATTTTTTATTTGCTTTAATCAGATCGTTACACATTATTAATATTAATCCCACGAATTTATTCTAAATCAGAAAAAGTATATCAAAGATATGGGTTTTATAAAAAGAGGTGGATAAATCCACTTTTTCAGGGTTCCTAATTCACATGGAGTGGAGGGGAAGTCACCACTTCCATTCTATTGTAGATCTCAATTCACCTTGGTATTTGATACCCTTCACTTTCTTTTCTTTTTCTTTATCATTTTCCCTTTTGAGAACATATTTTATTCTTTATAAAATTACATAGCATACAAGTATTATAACTAAATTTCAGATTATTAAGTTATTCCAAAAATTATATTTTTTCGTAGATTAAGAACATTTGTTTGTAAATTCAATACGTTGGTATCTTATTCAGTATGTCATATATGGTTGTTTATAGACATATATACACAAAGAACAATCTATTTGGTAATTTGTTGTCAATAAATTATATGTGAAATCAAATTTATATTATATTTGAGTAATGCTAAAACTTCATTGTTATAGAAAAGCTTGATGTCTCAGGCACTATAAATTCATTGTTATAGAAAAGCTAACATACAAGGGCTTCTAGCCCAGCGCTATCTGGTGTTGCCCTCCCTCTTTGGGGTTAGGGGTTCAAGTCCCGTCGTGGACATAGATTGATTTAAGGTATAGTTTAGGAGTATATTAGATTTGCCGTTTCAAAAAAAAAAAAAAAAAAACAAGCAACCTTATAATTTGATTTTTGTTTATATATTATACAAAAATTTCACTAAAAGATTTTATAAAATCAACATTTAATATACATAACAAAAAGGTTAAGGAAACAATAAATTTATCTTACTTATTTAGTTTGTTGTAATCTGAATTTAAGTTTTTCCACATTTATACAGTTCTTCGCTTTTAATTTAATTTAATTTTTTTTGTAAATACCATAAATAATATGTTTCATCGATCATTCACACCTTATCTTAAGATACGATTTTCAATTATTAAATACTTGTTTACAATAATATGATTTTCCTATACAATATTTCTTATACATAGTCCACTCTTTTACCAAATAAAAAGAAATCAATTGGTTTAAATATATAGATGTCGGTTTCGAAACTTCTAATTATATAGATATATATAAAGAAAAGATTATGGGCCCTCCATTTTAAGCACAAACTATTATATATTGCAAGTAACGTAACGTTTTAATCTTTTCAATTTTCAATAGAGCCGTTACTTTTCCCCGCACCTTTCCCCTTTAAAACCACCATAACACAAAAAATCAAATCATCATCTCATAACAACATGGCTGCTAAAACATTTGCACATCTTTTCCTTCTACTTTCATCATTGCTTTCAGGTATACAACCTTCCTATATATGGCTTCGAAACTACATGTTCAATAAACATGACGCACAACATATCTGACATTTGTCATCTTTTCCATTTGTTTTCTTGCAGTTGGGACATTGAGGATAGTTCATGGTGATGTATGTCAAACTATTTGCTTTTTAACTTGATGATATTTGCTCTCTTTTTTTTCAAAGAAAAAGACTGAAATACCCTTGTTGATGATGCAGAAAACATGGTGTGTGGCAAAGCCGTCATCGACTGATACCATGCTATTAAATAACATTCAGTATGCATGCTCACAAGTGGATTGCAAGATCCTGCAGAAGGGTGGTGCATGCTATTCGCCAGATAGCTTGATTAATCATGCATCCATAGCCATGAATATTTACTATCAGTGCAAAGGAAGAAACACATGGAATTGTAATTTTGGTAGCACTGGTTTAATTACTATCACCGATCCAAGTAAGTAATCCTCTTTAGTAGGAATCTTGAACAAACCCATTAAAGATTTTAAGCAAGATATAGGGTTTTTATCAGAAATGTAATCAACCAGTTAAAGATTTGTGCATAAAGTTGGTTTTCTATAGAAATTTAATCAACCCTTTAAGATGTTTAGGTTTTATTAATTAGAAATTTAATCGATCCATTAAAGATGTTTAGGCATTATTTGAAATTTAATGGAGCCATTGAACATGCACTAAACTCATTTTTTTTATTAGGAGTTCAACCAACCCACTAAAGATTTGAAGCTAAAGTTAAAATTTTTATTTAGACTTTTCAAATCAAACGTCAAAGATCAAGTTAAATTACCATCAAAGATTTGTGCACTCATTGATCATTTTAAGTTAATCAGCCTGTTAATTAAATATATGAAGCTAAATTTGAGTTTTTCTTATTAGATTATAGGGATAAATCAAGAAACAATAATATATATTTTTATTTACTTGGATAATAACATCTCGATGATAAACGCTCTACTAATTTACAGGTTATGGAGGTTGCCAGTATATGTAATGATCGGCATGAAGAAGATGATGATTTTTAGCAATTATGACCATAGTTATTATTTGTTACTTAAATAGAGTTTTTTGATGCAATATACTTAATTAGTCAAATTTGAGACAAAATGACGTGTTTAGATCAATATTTTCTTGTCAAGTTATAATTAATTAGTCAAATTTGTAATCCGATTGGAGAAGATTGTGATTGTGTTTGAAAAACGGAAAAATTAAAGAATGGAATCGAGTTGCCCCGAGGACACTACAAGAAAATTTCGATTTAGCTACGAAAAAATTCCGTAGCTAAAAGCTAAAATTCCGTAGCTAAACCTGAATAGCTACAGAAGTTGCTACGGAATTTGTCAATGAGATTCCGTAGGTATATTTCTTGTAGCAAACTGTTTAGCTACAGAATTATAGTTCCGTAGCAGTTTTGCTACGACGTTTATTCCGTAGCAATTTAACTATAACACACTTCCATAACATTCCGTAACAATGGGGTGCGTAGCAAATTCCGTAGCTACTTGTTCCGTAACAAATTCCGTAGCCATTTGTTTTGTAGCAAATTTCGTAACCATTTGTTCCATAACAAATTTCGTAGCCATTTGTTCCATAACGAATTCCGTAACCATTTGTTCCGTAGCAAATTCCGTAGCCATTTGTTCCGTAACAAATTCCGTAGTCATTTGTTCCGTAGCAAATTCCGTAACCATTTGTTCCGTAGCAAAAATAGGTTCCAAAACAAATTCATAACGATAAAAATATTCAACAAAATCCAATTTCCAGTTATAATATTCGTTGAAATATAAATACACGCAATAAATTTAATTTTAATAGTTACATAGATTTTTATAGATATATTACATAATTGAAAATCCTTTTACATGGTTCTCTAATCATCAAAACTAAATATTCGTTACAAATATCGTTACAAATATTGTCACACAATTCATATTGGAACCAACATAAACACACAAACAACCATAGATGTTCAAGAAAAATGGCAAAACCTGCAAAATCAAATTTATAAACAAGTTGATTAACATTCAAATCTCCTGTATGAAATCTCATTATATCTCTAGATTTTGACTAACTAGAGATTTAAAATCTGAAAAAAAACAAAAAATAAAAAAAAAACAATCCAACTCTTCTAATTGATACAGTATTACCATATACACAAGAAACAGAATAATAACTAATTCAATTGTTTTTAAGTATTTATTGCATTAACATAAAACTATTATAATTTTAGTATATAATTTCTTCTTTCTTTTTGTGATGTAATGAATAATGGTGACAATGCACAGGGGAAATTCTTGTAGTTTAGTCTTTTTGTGCTAGAACAGTAGAATGAGTCGTGCATAGAAGTTGCTATACTTTATTTAAAAAAAAATAGGATGTCACTAAGTATTGTTAAAAAAAATTAAGATTCTAACTGACAATATATAAATGTTTCCTTGATTATTAAACTAACAATATATAAATGTTTATTTTGCAATTATGAATTATTCAAAAAGAAAATTTTATGTTTTTTTTATTGAGGATGTCATTTCATTTTGACCCATAATGACAATCAACTTTCATTCTTAACCTATATTGGCAACATACTTTAATTTTTAACCAATCATAGCATCTTACTTTCACTTTAACCTATAATAGCAGCCTACTTTCCTTTTTAACCCATCATAGCATCTTACTTTCATTTTAAACATGTAAACTTACACAAAGTAGATTGCTATTATTTGTAATATATATATATATATATATATATATATATATATATATATTAACACAACTTTCCTTTATGACAATAATAGCAATGCACACACAAACATCTACAATCCAATACACACATAAAAGTAGCTAAAAAAATAAAATCAGTTCATCTTTCCTATGTTTTTTAACCTATTATGGAATTCTTTAATTGTATCAGATGAGAAAAAAATGAAATTGCACTCTTTTATTAACCCATATCAACTATTTCAGATAACAGTTCGTACTATTTATTTTAAAAAACAAACGGATCCATTTTTAACAACGGAAATTTTTCTTTAAAAAAGTCATAATTTCATAACATGTTATCATTCCCTCCAAACAATTTCAAAATTTAAATTTCAAACATTTCATTAATCTTTGAAATCTAAAACCAAAATTAAAGAAATTATAAACCCTAACCTTATAAAGTCGTATCCTCTGATGCGTTGTTATCGGACCAAACAATTTTTGAAGTCTTCATTTTTGCTCTCCTCTCCTAGCGTCGGTTAACTTACACATAGCGAGATAGGGCAATTGTCTCAATCATACATCTATCTTTGAGTAGTCATGTAGAAGCTTTGTATTTATAACAGCAAGCAAGTTGTTTACACAAATATCGCAACAGATTCCAATAGTAAGATCCATAAGCCTCACTATGGGAACCTGGCTCGAGTCAGTGCCTACAGAAATAAGGGCAAAATGGTCATTTGAGATTTTGAGAACTGAGAATTGATTATGTTTTGCATAATTTTAGGATTTATGTTTAAGATAATGAGATTGATTGAATTTGTTTTGAAAACAAAACCTAAAAAGACCAATTTACCCTTCAAGAGAATTACGTGAACATTCCCAAGATTATCAGATTTCAAAATATCTGGAAGCTTCAACAAAATCTCTGCTTTGTCAATATCTGCATTTCCCATTGCAAGACAAACACCAATGTCACTTTTACGAAATCCAAATGAATGGGCACATGTTCCATAAGGAAATAATCGAGCTTCAGGCCATTATTTTGTAACATGTTTATCCAATAATGCCATGAGTTGCTTCTGTTTTTCGTTCTCTTATTCCGGTGGAATCAGTGACACATAAATTGCAAGAAAATATGCATTTAGCCTTTGTATATCCCCCATACATTCTGTACGGCTTCTATAGTTCCTCATTCTTTGGTTAAGTATCCACTCTCCCTTTTATCTGATCTGTAATCCTGAATTCATATCACAAGAGTTGCAAATAAAGCTAAAGATAAGAAGTGAGATTATAAAGTTAATGGAAGCTCATTTCAATGCATATAAGTGGCTGTTACGTTTTAATTTGATGAGTATTATGAAATTTTATTTTGGAATGTAAGGGTAAAAGAGTCATTTAGTCTGATTCAAAATCAGACCAAGTTCAGCTTCAATCGAGTAAAAAAAAACAAACCAACAATTTCTCAATACAAAATTAAAACGATAAACCAAGGCCCCTGAAGAAAAAAAAACCTTGGACGAAACTATCATTTACCATTAACACATTGTAGTTGTTGCATCTATATCTAACCTTCAAGGACCAGGTGACACCATGTTGTCTTCATTGATTACATGCAAGAACCGAATAGGGATGGAGGAGCCTCCATCTTCTTCATTGCTTCAACAGCCATTCTTTCTACACATATGGTTCTTAGGTTCCTATAATCACAATACATTTCTAATCTTTATCAAAAAAAAAATTAAGTGTTAAACACATAGATTTCATCCTCTTTTCCACAAAATCAAAGTTATTTATGATCAATGTTTCCTGTTGCACATCTCACCAACAGTAAGTTTAATGATCCCCTTTTGCTAGCTTTGAGTATATGCCTAAGATCACTATCAGTGGCAATCATCATTAATCACCAGAAGACAATCACATCATTTATTTGTTAGCTCCACCAATTATTCCATTATCAGGTCTCCTTCACCACATACTGGAAGTTCATCTTGCTTCTTCATAACATCCTTCACCTGCAACATGCAATCAAATCAACAGATCGCCAAATAGATTAGATGTAGGTTGAAGAAACATGTTATTACTGAACTTGCTACATAGTTTACCCTAAAATTGACATGAGACCTACTGTCGTTCGTGATTCGAAAAAAACTCCACACCTATTTACCGGTTTATCTTTCCCTTAACGTACATAAGAATATCTCATCTAAAATTGAAAGAACACACAAAAGGTCAGAATAAAATAAACAAAATCGGTTAGCGAATCTTGTGTTTGTACGACCTTCTTCATGGAAACCTCTCAAAGTCCTAGTTGAAGGCGGTGATTCAACAACTTAAAAAGGATTCGAGGTCAATATGAGATGAGAGTATTTGCAATTAGACTAACAATATCAATGAGGCATTCACTCGATAGGGGGAATGCTTTACAAATATTCTTAGAAATAGGCAATAATTAATACAATGTACACATATCTGAATCGTAGACAAAAAAACCATAGCAACTCCTCATAAATTGAAAATCATAAAAGCAGAAATCATCATGTCAAAAAAATCGACAATAAGTAAAATACTTTGATGTATGCCTCTTACACACATAATCAACCGGTCCCTCAAAAATCGGCACCCAACAACAACAACGAAACCTCCGACACAAAAGTAAATCAGAAGAGGCGATAGAATAAGACGAACGACAAAACCACAAAGTAAACAACGACCAATTGAACTGAACTAAAGAAGGCATCGGCAGGTGGTGGTGGAGGCTGAGAGAAAGGGGGAGGGGCTTGAGGTGCAAGAAAGGGGAGCGTCGGAGATCGCAACGGGCATCGCAGGCTTCCAAAGGAGAGAAGGAAGTCTCAATCGATCGATGTATGCATTCTAGTTGATTATTAGAGGAATCGGAAAGCAATGATGGACGGTGGCTCACCGACTTCTACTCCAGTTTCTCCAAAAATGTTTAGATGGAACCAAAAAAAAAAAGCGGTGGAAGCAGGTGGAGGGATCAGAAATAAACCGGCAAACCTTAGAATATAGTGGAGGGACTAAAGGTATAACACCAGAAACAATTGGACTAGAAGTAACAGTAGAAAACGCGTGGGGGAGTAAACGTATGAAACCACAAACAATTGGACGGAAACTGACTAAATGATTAAAAAAATGTGGCCAATCTCAAATAAATAGAAAAGTGACTTATCTAACTACAACCAGAGGAGGCGATATTCCGTAATAATATGTAAAGAATTTTATTAATCATAATTAAATTATAATTAAAAATCATAACACAATTAAAAACAGTAATTTATTTTTTTTGGTAAAATATTTTTTTCTATTTTACTACGGAAGTATATTCCGTAACTAATTGACTACGAAATATTCCGTAGCCACATAGCTACGGATTAAGATTCTGTAGTTATTTTGCAAATTCAAAAACAACTTAGATACACAAATAACAACGGTTAACCTTTCCACTACAAGTTCCGTTGTATATTAGCTACAAATTTTTATTGTGTAGCAAATTTTCGTCACAAAGTAGCTACGAATTTCTATTATTTAGCAAACTAGCTACGTATTTTTATTTCGTAACCGATTTTGTAGCCAACTAACTACGAAAATGGATTACAAAACAAGTTCCGTAGCAAACTAGCTACAACCAACAACCACGTAGTATATTTCATAGTGAAATAGCTACAAATTTTGATTTTGTAGCAACAATTCAAGATTTAGCTACGAAAATGCAACTCCCTAGCTATTTCCGTAGAAAAATAGCTACGACCAGCTATTTTGTAGCATATTCCGTAGTATAATATCTACAGATTTTGATTACGTAGTAACTTTTTGTAGTTATTCCTAGTTTAGCTACGGAATGTAACTCTGTAGCCATTTCCGTAGCAAAATAGCTACGAAAAGCCATTTTGTAGCACGTTCCGTAATAGAATAGCTACGGATTTCAATTCCGTAATAAGTTTTCATAGTTATTTATGATTTTTCGTGTAGTGGAGTAGACCAGAATCCCAAGTTCCGGCTGACTCACATAATTGTTTTCTTTCTTGATTTTACTGTTATATATTTGGATTAACTGAAATTGTTTTCAGTTTGTTGATAAAACTGATGCGCATCATTTTTATGTTCTTAAATCTGTTCTTGAATTTAATTGGATGTTTACTTTGATGGGTACTTAATTTCTTTTCTACATATTAATCTCACTAGTTTGGAGATTGTTTGGTTGTAATAATCTACTGGAGATTGATTTTGTTAATATATATTAATTATAAGCAAAGTTATTTTATATTTGGTTTTATTTTTCAAAATTTAACGACAAAGAAGTGTCGTTAATTGTTGAGTGATTAAATTGCAACTATATTTGAGTTTGGTATTGATATTGTGATATTAAGTATACTTTATTAGTTTTTTAGCGTTTGTGAAATTCCGTCTAAGCATGTGCAATGATATAGGAGAAAAAAAAAGTAGAAGGACGAGGATAGGGGAAAAAAAAAGTAGAAGAAGAAGAAGGAAAGGAGTAAAAGGGTAAATCGGTGACAAATTATTAGAAAAAGTTCTAATATTTTATCTTAATTTACGAAAAAGTTTCAAACTAAAATTTGTTTACAATAAAACATGAAGTACCGATAAAAATGAAGATTTGACCCATTATTTTCGTTTTACCTGTTTCATTACTTACCTGATTCCATTAAAATCTCATTATTTTATCTCAATTTACGAACAAGTCCCAAACTAAAATTTAGTGATGATTTGGTCATTTTCTCAATGTAACATACATTTTACCGGTTTCATTATTGACCTGCACGCCTAGTCATTAAATGACCCGATAAGATGGATACGATGAGTTATATAATGTTACATTTACCATAAAATTTTGATATACATCTCATCGGCTCATTTATAACTATGTATCTAGGTCAACAATGAAACCGGTAAAATATGTCTTTGTAGGAAAAAAAGGACAGAAAATTAGCTAATGTCTAATAAGATGGATATACTGGGTTACATAAGATTAGATAGACAATTTGAAATTTTTTATAAACTTAAAAAATGACGAAGTTGTTGCTAGTTTATGTAATTATTGTAATCTTTGTTTGATGCATTTTATATTCAATATATATATATATATATATATATATATATATATATATATATATATATATATATATATATATATATATATATATATATATATATATATATATATATAACGCAACATATTCATCCAATAAGATCATTTAATGACAGGGAGAGCTGCGTAGGAGACATCTTTATCTGAGGAGGAGGCTTCGTTTTTCGGCTCCTCATAATGATGTTAGAATGGGCCGGCCCATCCTCGGAATCCTAAAAAAAAAGAGGGAACAGAACCACTTTCTTTCAGTGACATATCTAATCAAACTAAATAGGATTTTAAGAGCTGTCATGTAAAACCCCGACTCCCAGGTATATTTTTAAAAGCTTTTTATTCATTTTATTGAAGGAACTCGACGAGTTGGAGGCCCCAACTCGTCGTGTGGAACTTAGTCATCCCGCGTGCGTTTTGACTCCTACTTGACGAGTCAGAGGACCCCGACTCGACGAGTAGGGGTTGTGCATGGAAACCCTAATTTTTAGGGTTTGCTCCCTATTTAAAGAACCTTAACTCCCCTCCCTAGCCTCCCTTACCAGCCTATCGTCCATAAACAAACCCTAGCAAACTAACTCTCCATTTTTTAGTGTGTGAGGCTAAAAGAGTGTGTTTTGGTGCAGCTTAAAAATGTATGGATAGGAAATGGACTGCATGAACTCGACGAGTCGCATAGCCGACTCGGCGAGTCAGATGAAGGTTGCCCGTATTTGATTCTGCATGAACTCGCGAGTCAGTAAGAGGACTCGACGAGTCAGTTAGGGTTTTCCCCCGACATCTGGACACGCATGGACTCGACGAGTTGGTTGGAAACTCAACGAGTCAGTTAGGGTT